TTCAACATCCATCTTACTAACTTAACAACCGCAGTGATTCACTTAACAACTGTGTCAAGAAAAATCGTAACGTGGGGCAAAACTCACTTAACAACTGTCTCACTTAGCAACAGAAATTTAGGGTTCAGTTGTGGTCGGAAGTCGACCTGCTACACTAAACAAAACCAGCTAAATAAGGCAACCAAATAAAAAACCCAAACTAAAGCAGCTACAAACAAAAACCAAATAAAATCATTGCAGGTTGGCGGATGAGAAATATCTGGCTTGCCAGGAAAAGAAAACAGCTGGACATGGGTTGGTTAGGCTATATAAACTAACTAAGGAAAATTGGGTTGGGAGAGACAAGTTAATGTCATCCCTAAATACAATATATAAATATTTTTCAGATAGTTTCATGTACACATACACACAGACAAACACACACCATGGAATTCAGTGGAATGTACTCTGAGGTAAATATTTATCTGAAGACTCACCATGCAGTCCACTGCATAGTTACTCAGGAATAAGTGTTGAATGAAAACTAATCCCAAGTTAAGAGAGTGATAAATGGTTAAGGTGATGGATTGAGAGCAGACAGGTCTAGTTAAGCATAGAGGCCAGTTGGGTGGCTTTGCACCAGTCACTCTCTCAACCTTAGACTGGGAAGTAGAAAAAAATAAATCTCCAAAGATAATGGCAACCAACCTGTGTAGAGTTGCCAAGGAAATGGCATGGAGCTCTCCATAAAGATGACAGGTGTTGGGATTGACTTGAAGCGCACCCCACCCCACCCCCAAAAAAACTCCCAGTACACACAGAGATGATTGCAGTGGGGGTTTTTTGGGGTTTGTTTGTTTGTTTGTTTGTTTGTTTGTTTGTTTGTTTGTTTTTTGGATTGTTGAATTGCTTCACATGTTGCAAGAGAGTGAGTGATGATATCAGGCCACTTCCAACACAATTTCTGCTGTGGAGTGGGTTTTTAAAAATGATCTCATAAATTCTGGATGTTTGGCAACCTTATGTAAGGTTGTCAGAATTTTATTGAAATTATTATTATTTTATTTATCTCTGTCTCTGGGGTATGAATCCATTTAGTTAATTATTTAGTAGACTCCAGATTCACTCTGGGCAGCTTAAAAAAACAACAATAAAAAGGAACTAGAGTGACTGCTTAATAATATCCCGCCAACAAACATCCAGACCTGGGGAAACAACCATATTATTAAAGACTTCCAGAACCTCACTTGGGTGGAAAGCCATAGCAATTTCTGGTATGATGTTGTTCAGACATTATGAAAGAGAAGGTATGCTTCCTATGTCCCAATTGGTGACAATGATTGATAGAAGGGACCTGAAGAAACCAACTCTGCTTGATTTTACTGGAGAGGCAGAAAGTATATGAAATAGACCTGTGATGGCAAACCTATGGCACGCGTGCCACAGGTGGCATGCAGCGCCCTCTCTGTGGGCACGTGAGCCATTGCCCCAGTTCAGCTCTGCCATGCATGCTGGTCATCAGGTCTCTGCCGAGCATGCACGGGGGGTGGGGTCCGTGCAGGGGTCAGGGCGCATGCATGGGGAGCGTGCAGGAGTGCACACGCATGCAGGGGTGGGGCGCATGTGGGGGCCCATGCGTGCATGCGGGGGCACATGTGTATTGCATTTTGGGGCTTTGGACACTTGGTCCGGAAAAGGTTAGCCATCAGTAAAATAGACAGTCCTTGGATACCCTGGCTCTCTACCAAGAAAGGCTGGCTTTGTAGGTAATAGTGAGCACAAAAGTGAATTGGCTAACAGAAGCCCTTCAGTAATCTATGCAACTGGTAGAGCAATGGAGCTATAGGAGCATGCCCAACAATACCTGTACCATTGAATTTTGGACCAGCTTTTACTTCCAAATGGTCTTTAAGGGTATATAGAGTACATTGCAGGAATCCAATGCAGGGGTGAAATCCGGCAGGTTCTGACAGGTTCTTGAGAACTGGTAGCAGAAATTTTGAGTAGTTCGGAGAACCGGCAAATACCACCTCTGGGTGGCCACAGAGTGGGGTGGGAATGGAGATTTTGCAATATCCTTCCCCCAGGAGTGGGGAAGGAATGGGGATTTTGCAGTATCCTTCCCCTGCCACGCCCACCAAGCCAAGCTACACCACGTCCACCAGGCCACACCCACAGAACCGGTAGTAAAAAAAAAAGTTGGATTTCACCACTGATCCAATGTGTGGTGATTACGGCATGAGTTATTGTCTAAAGGGCCTTGCAATCAAACAATAAGTACAATTAGTACACAGGATGAAGATAGGGCCTATTAGCCACATGGTCTTCAAGCAGGAGCTGCAAATCCAAAATCACCCCCAGACCATCTTCCTCACAAGCTAGAGCAACTTACATGGAACAAGATTTCCCACTAGGGCCAGACCTGGGGAAACAACCATATTATTAAAGACCTCCAGAACCTCACTTGGTGGAAAGCCATAGCAATTTCTGGTATGATGTTGTTCAGACATTATGAAAGAGAAGGTATGCTTCCTATGTCCCAATTGGTGACAATGATTGATAGAAGGGACCTGAAGAAACCAACTCTGCTTGATTTTACTGGAGAGGCAGAAAGTATATGAAAGAGCCTTGATAGTACAGTGGTTACGCACCCTGTTATTAACACAGCTGCCTGCAATTTACTGCTGGTTCGAATCTCTCCAAGGCTCAAGGTTGACTCAGCCTTTCATCCTTTCTAAGGAAGGTGAAATGAGGACCCAGTTTGTGGGGGCAATAAGCTGACTTTGTATAAAATATACAAAAAGAATGAAGGCTATTGCTTAATGCATTGTAAGCTGCCCTGAGTCTCCGGAGAAGGGCGGCATATAAATCAAATTAAAAAAAAAAAATAGACCCGTGATGGCAAACCTATGGCACACGTGCCACAGGTGGCATGCAGCGTCCTCTCTGTGGGCACATGAGCCATTGCCCCAGTTCAGCTCCGCCACGCATGCTGATCATCAAGTCTCTGCTGAGCATGCACGGGGGGTGGGGTCCGTGCAGGGGTCAGGGCGCATGCATGGGGGGCGTGCAGGAGTGCACACGCATGCAGGGGGTGGGGCGAATGTGGGGGCCCACACGTGCATGCGGGGGACACATGCAGGGAGGCGCATGTGCATTGCATTTTGGGGCTTTGGACACTCGGTCCGGAAAAGCTTAGCCATCACTGAAATAGACAGCCCTTGGATACCCTGGCTCTCTACCAAGAAAGGCTGGCTTTGTAGGTAATAGTGGGCACAAAAGTGAATTGGCTACCAGAAGCCCTTCAGAAATCTATGCAACTTGTAGAGCAATGGAGCTATAGGAGCATGCCCAACAATACCTGTACCATTGAATTTTGGACCAGCTTTTACTTCCAAATGGTCTTTAAGGGTATATAGAGTACATTGCAGGAATCCAATGCAGGGGTGAAATCCAGCAGGTTCTGACAGGTTCTTGAGAACTGGTAGCAGAAATTTTGAGTAGTTCGGCGAACCAGCAAATACTACCTCTGGGTGGCCACAGAGTGGGGTGGGAATGGAGATTTTGCGATATCCTTCCCCCAGGAGTGGGGAAGGAATGGGGATTTTGCAGTATCCTTCCCCTGCCACGCCCACCAAGCCAAGCTACACCACGTCCACCAGGCCACACCCACAGAACCGGTAGTAAAAAAAAAGTTGGATTTCACCACTGATCCAATGTGTGGTGATTACGGCATGAGTTATTGTCTAAAGGGCCTTGCAATCAAACAATAAGTACAATTAGTACACAGGATGAAGATAGGGCCTATTAGCCACATGGTCTTCAAGCAGGAGCTGCAAATCCAAAATCACCCCCAGACCATCTTCCTCACAAGCTAGAGCAACTTACATGGAACAAGATTTCCCACTAGGGTTTTTTTTTCCCCCCTTGTTGTTCCTCCTTGGATACATTTCTCTGGCTCATTTCCATCATTTAGTGCTTAACTTAAGAAAAGTATTCATTATTCCCAAATGACAAGCCAGCATGTCTTAGCTGGTTGCACTTCCATTTAGCCTTTGTGCGAGGTGTTTATGGAAGGACAGACTGTTCCCATTTCGAAAAGCCTGAGGGCAGCATCCCCAGTGACATTATTCAGAAAGATGATCATGTGCAATCACAACCAATCCCACTTCCTTGACAATATATATAAGAGAAGAAAATTTAAAACCTAAAGCTCACAATTACACCTGCTTCTGTTTCACAGACTGTGTCCTCTCTTTCTCCTTGTACCTCTTTCTGCATCTTTACTCTTCAGTTCCTCACCAATTAAAATGTCTCACCAGCCAACATCAGAATTCAGAGGAGAGGCTTCAGTAACTCACCTGCCATCCTACCTAACTTGTATCGCACCAACTGGAGCTCACAAAGTGTGGGCAGAGGTGGAAGCTGTGGCACAGGAGGTGCTGGCTGGGGCCGGGCCGGTGGGGCTGGTTTTGGCAGCCAAAGCCTTTACAATCTTGGTGGACTCAGGAGAATCGCGGTTGGAGGCAGTTATGGCAGTGGCATCGGTGGAAGCTATGGGTATGGTGGTGGAGTTTGTAGTGGCTATGCTGTTGGTGGTGGTATTGGTGGAGGCGATGGGCTAGGTGGAGCTGGTTTTGGTGGAGGGAGAGGGAACCCTGGCTTCCCAATTTGCCCACCAGGCGGAATCCAAAGAGTAACTATCAATCCCCTCCTGTTGGTGCCTCTCAAACTGGAGATTGACCCCACCATAGAGAAGGTTCGCAAAGAAGAAAGAGAACAGATCAAGACACTCAACAACAAGTTTGCCACCTTCATAGATAAGGTGAGAATAAATAAATGCTTTATTATTTCAGGTTGCTGTGGATTGGGAAAGAGCTCAAGTGCCTTCCTCCAGTTCCTCTTCAATTTTTGCTCATGTCATTACAGCTGTTATTTATCACTACCTGGCACCAGCTACTGTAGGTGAGATGACAGAGCTGCAAATTTTTCCCCAGTCTTACAGCTGCACATGCAGTAGCAGCCTAACTGGAGTAATGCTGTGGGGATTTCTTTTTCCTGTTGCAGAAAGAGAGACTGGAAACAATTCTAAAGTTAAGATTATATTTTCTCTGACACAAATCTCAGTAGGTCAATAGAGTTTCTCACTATATAGTAATAATGGGGAAATGAGGTCTAATCAAACAAAATGTATGTATGTATGTATGTATGTATGTATGTATGTATGTATGTATGTATGTTTTATTTATTTATTTATTTATTTATTTATTTATTTATCCAATTTATTTATTTATTGGGTTTATATGGCCATCTATCTCGTAACAGTGAAAAGAAAAAGTAAAAAAAAAAAAGTCAGTTCTTTTTCCATATATTGTTGAAAGTTTTTTTCATTTAATAAGTTTTGATTTAATGTCCATCTCATTTTTCTTTTTTTCCCCTTCCATGTCATTATTATTGGGTTGTGGTCTGCCCATACATTTGTTTCAATCTCAATCTCTTGTATTTTAGCTATTAATTCTGTTGACATCCACATCATATCTATTCTTGACCACGACAAATGTCTATTTGAATAGAATGTATATTGCTTTTCTTTTGGATGGCTTCGTCTCCAAGCATCTCTACAAAATGTGTGGGATACTAGCAAAGCATATATTAGAGGATTGAAATGACATATTTAGGAAAACAAAATAAACAGAACAGGCAAATGAAAAGAAAAAGTACTCTCCCCCCAGGTGCCAGACCATCGTCCTCATTGCTCAATCCCCATCCCAGTCCAATGTGTGGGGAAAGAGCCAGGTTTCACGACCTTCCAGAAGGTCAAAAGGGTAGGGGGATCCCTCAGATCTCAGTTGGGAGGCTGTTTCAAAAGGTTGGGGTGGCCATTGAGAAGGCGTGACTCTGAGGTGGAATTTGGAGCCACAGAATCTTTTTTTCCTGACTAGTAACCATGAATCAAACTGCTTTGAAACACATAACTATGACCCTTTAGCCTAGAAATGTAAAACATGCAGATATGATGTAGTTCTTGCTCAGAGAAAAAACTTTAGCAGAGTTGAAGAAAGAATTAGGTCATGATGAGTAATGTGAGATATGGAAGAGGCAGGTATCACACTCAAAGTGTGTGCAAGAAGATGCCTGAGTAGGTTTAGAGTTCATTCACTCATCCCTGCATTCACTCATTCATCTACAATCACAATTTACCTCATTTCAAAGTGTCTATTAGAAATATTTATGCAATAATGGGATACTTTTTGGGATGAGAATTGGAGCATTGGTGAGGTACAGAATTGCATGGGTAACTACACTCCCATACACAAACTAGTCTAGAGGAATATTTAATTATTTGTATACCACCTTTATTATTTTTACAAATAACTCAAGGCAGTGAACATATCCTACACATCTTTCTCCTTCTATTTTCTCAAGAAAACCCTGTGAGATGAGTTGGATTGGGAGACAGAGACTGGTCCAAGGTCATACAGTGAACTCATAGCTAGAGGGGACTAGATACAGGAAGGCTAACTATTGGGGCCAGGCGGAAGGAAGGAAGGAAGGAAGGAAGGAAGGAAGGAAGGAAGGAAGGAAGGAAGGAAATAAATGCAAGAAAAAAGTAGACTTTTTGAAAAATCTGCTCAAGAATACATCAAAACAATTTGAGAACTATGTCAGGAATTACAAAAGGATTTGCCTCTTTAATCCTCCAACCCCCAAATCCATGTCTTTCTGCCTCAGGTGCGTTTCCTTGAGCAAGAGAATAAAGTGCTGGAAACAAAATGGGCTCTGCTTCAGGAACATGACCAGAAAACTGTGAAGAGTAACCTTGAGGAACTTTTCAATGGTTACATCAGCACTCTTAGGAAAGAACTGAATGATCTGGAGAAGGACAAAGTAAGGCTGGATGGAGAGCTACTTAACACCCAAAACCTTGTAGAGGATAACAAGAGCAAGTAAGACCTTTAAACCTTCAGTTTTGCTCCAAGTTTCATCTTACTCCCTCTTTTATGCATGTGTATGCCAGCAAGTCAAGGCTCTTTTTTTTTTTATGTCAGGCAATGGCCTGGATTGGCCCTTGTGGGTTTTTTTGGCAAGGTTTTCCAGAAGTGGTTTGCCATGACTTGCTTCCTAGAGCTGAGAGTAACTGGCCCAAAGTCATTGACTTGGCTTTGTACCTAAAATGGAATTTAAAAGTCACAATCTCTCAGTTACGAGTCTGGTGCTTTAACTACTATCCCAAAGTGGCTCTTAAAGTTTTTAGCCATTCAGCTTTGCTCCCTCATTTACACCCTTTGCTGATATTGCATCTAAGAATCTCACAACAGGTTCTGTTAAAGACAAAAGTGCCGAGGTAGTTTACAAGCTAGGTGTGAGCGGATCAAAGAACTACAGATTGGCTCTTGGCCAACAGGTGTAGGTGGATTTAAACTCCCTGGGATCTCAGTATAGTTAATATTCCCGGGTTGCACAAATTCAGATTATCGTTACATTGACACAGAGAATCATAGGACTGCTAACTCTTTGCAGATGATTCTTCAGCCTTGTCCAGTCCAGGTATGGCAAGCCTAAGCCACCCCCAACTACAGAATGTTGGCAGGGAATGAAATACTCAAAACACTGTCCATCTTTCTATCTGTCTGTCCTCCTTCAGGCCTTGTAGGTCCAGTTGGGTAACAAAGCAAACTTTCTCAGACCGTTTTGTGATAATTGACCAGCCATATCTGAGAATCACCCCTGGGATATAGTCAGGACCCTTTTAAAAACATTTAAGAAGTGCAGCAGCTTTACTAGATTTCTCTAAGTAGGTGTTATTATTTTCTCCTCCCCAAATAGGTATGAAGATGAGCTCAATAAGCGTGCGGAAGCAGAGAATGACTTTGTAATCCTCAAGAAGGTGAGAGTCTGTCCCAGTGGTGAAGTTAAATATTTTTTACTACCGGTTCTGTGGGCGTGGCTTGGTAGGCGTGGCAGGGGAAGGATATTGCAAAATTTCCATTCCCACCCCGGGGGGAAGGATATTGCAAAATCTCCAATCCCACCCCACTCTGGGGCCAGCCAGTGGTGGTATTTGCCGGTTCTCCGAACTGCTCAAAATTTCCACTATCAGTTCTCCAGAACCTGTCAGAACCTGCTGGATTTCACCCCTGGTTTGTCTGCAGTGCAGCTACTTTGCAGAAAGGCAGCCCTTGCTGTGATGTTAAAAGGTGGGACTATCCCAGAAACAAGTACAATTAGTATACATGTGTGTGTGTTTGTATTTTCATACCGAAAAATAATCAGGAAACAATAATCCATTAATAAACAGTCCTTTAACTTTTCACCATTAAATTCAGTGTTTCCTTTTTAGGAAGTGGATGCTGCCTACATAGACAAAGCAAGACTAGAAATTGATCTTCAAACTTTAATTGACGAGATAAAGTTTCTCAGACGCCTATATGAAACAGTAAGAGTCAATATCATTTTCTTTGAATTGCGCTATATTATGTAAATATACTGTATGTCCTGCCAAAGAGATAGCTACAATATTTATTTACTTTTTGGAACTATTTTAAGTATTAAAAGTCCCCTCCCACTTACCTCTAGATAAGATGATAGTTCAAACAAGGTTCTAAAGCATTGCTTTGTAGCGTATTTTGTTATAACAGGGAGGGAGGGAGGGAGGCAGGGAGGGGGGAAGGAAGGAAGGAAGGAAGGAAGGAAGGAAGGAAGGAAGGAAGGAAGGAAGGAAGGAAGGAAGGAAGGAGAAATATAAATCAAAAAAAGTTGAAAATTCCTCAAGTAGTTTAAAGAACAATAAGAATTTCAAAATTGGTTCAGAGTTAATTAAGAATTATTTAAGAAATCCTGCAGTTCCAGGATCCCAAGATCTAATGATAAATGCTGTCATCAGGAAGAGTCATTCCGTATTCTTTTACTCCAATATTTCCTGATCCTTTATTAATTCCATGGAAATTACTGATCTACCAGCACTGCATCAGTCATAAATTTATCTGCATAGGTTTACCTGCAGAATGAAATGTAAAATATGATTTTGTTAAAATAAATTTAAGCTGTTCAGGATCAGCCAAAATATCAGTTGAACAGGAAGCATTTGGCACAGCATTTGGTAACCCCAAAACTGCCTTGTACAAGTTGCAAATAATTGATTGTACCTAGACAATAGATTCTTAAATTTAACAAGTTGGAGGACAAAGATGACTTTTTAGGAAAACAGTGCTGAGGATTCTGTGCCCTGTGCAGTTCTTTGGATTATTCCATAGACATTTTTTAATAGCTTTTATCCCAACTTGTCCTTTCTGGTCAACTGTATTTTCGATAAAAAAAACATGACCATTAGAAAAAAGTTGAAAGTAATTTGGGAAACAAAAGAAATTATGCAAAACGAACACCCCTTCCAATTTCCTTACTTACCTGATAGAAAGGACCGCTTGCTCTAAATTTTGAATTAGGCAGTTGCCAAGGAGTAATCTTTTTGTGTATATTTCCTGAGTGGACTATTCCTATCACACGTGCAGGAACTGGAAGATCTACAGAGGACGATCTCTGACACTTCTGTGATTTTGTCCATGGACAACAATCGCTACCTGGACCTCGACAGCATCATTGCTGAAGTCAAAGCCCAGTATGAAGACATTGCCAAGAAAAGCAGGGCGGAGGCTGAAGCTTGGTACCAAAGCAAGGTAAATCGTCATCCATAAAAGTTGGGTGGGTGAGCTGTTGCTGCCTTACAGTGAATAAGCTGTGAGGGGAGGCCAAATGTTTTCTTCCAAAATTGGAATTAGCAAAGCCAAGTCAGTTGGAGGGATTCCCCTCCCATTTGTTTTTCAATTTGCTGCAGTGTTTACATGCCTGCTTTCCCAATTTAGTGTCCTCAAGAGCAACTTCCCTACTTCTCAGCTAGCATTGCCAATGACTTTTGACTGGGAAATGTAAAATTTGCATTCCAAGGCACCTTGAAGCATCAGATTGGGCAAGGCCGGTAGACAAACAAATATATACATTTTCACAAATGAATAAAACTGACTCAGTTAAATAATAGTTAAAACTACAGTGGCTGCTTTCTCCTTTTTTTAGTACGAGGCACTCCAGACTACTGCAGGAAGACACGCTGATGATCTTCGTAATGCCAAGCATGAGATTTCAGAACTTAACCGACATGTCCAGAGACTGAAGGCTGAAATTGAAGGTGTGAAAAAGCAGGTAGGTAAAGGCATTCTCCCAAAGTTGTGATCATACAGTGATACTGCTCAGCCACATTTCTGGCCTGAAAGAATATCAGTGTCGTGATCTTTCTATTCGTTTCTGAAGTGCAGATTATTCCCCAGCTGAAATACTTTTTCATCCTTAATATAATGCTACCTTTCAACATGTATTTAACCTCAAAATTAGCAACACCTGTATAGTGGTACTGGGGTATTCAACGTCAATTGGTTCTAAGAGGCACAATAGATACTAAAAATTACGAGTGCCAAACAAACCAGGTGACTTACCACATGACTATATGTTTTGGCCAGGAAAAACTTTTTCCTTTTTCCGGTCAATGACCTTCCCACCATGGCCCATTTCCTCTGTGCTCATCTCCCTCTTTTTTTTGCAACGTGCCAAATACCAAAGAAACTACAAATACTGGGACAACATTTTTGCATTAAAATACATTCAGTACCAAAATCGGCAAGTTTAGTAGTAGTCAAATACCGAGGTACCGCTATATATGAAACACAATAGGACAATCCGCCTATTTACATTACATTACCTGCCTGAAAAAGAAAATATAACACAGCATCTATTATGCTTATCTACATACTTTCTCCATACCGATTATTTTTTTCAAGCAGCTGTAAATTTCCTGGCTAGCATACAATTGCAAACTGTCATCGTTTCCCTGGTCTGCACACTTCTTTCAACTTTCCATTTACAGGTAGCCCTTGACACATGACAGTAATGAAACCTGCCCGTTATCGTTGCAAGTTGTTACAGTTGTCAGGCGAGGTGATATAATCGCCTCACTTAACAATTTTGTGATTGCCTTGCTTAATGACCCCACCCCAGCTTTCCCCAATGCTGTCATTAAGCAAAGCATGGAGTGCCTCAGGTGTGGGAGGCCTGCCCGGTTCTCTCAAGGTCTCCTGACTCCCTGAGGCACCCTCCCTCAGGATTCCCACATATCTTAAGACTGTTTCCCACCCAACCAGGCACCACACCCTCCTCCTCACACCAATCAAACACTTTAGAAAAGCCCTGGAGCATTGGGGCAGAAGGGCAGGCCATTCTGCCCCACAGCATCCCTGGGCTGTGGGACTTCATCCCATAAAGGGGAATCATTTTCAGAAGAGCCACAATTCATGTGGGGTTCATGGGGCCTGGTGAGGTGGGAAGCAGGCCCAGGGCAGGATGCGGAGGGGGGGAGATAGGCAGAGGGGCCTGCTGCAGCACACTTGCAGTCAGCCATAAAGGCCATAATTTCAACCCCGGATTGTAAGGATCTGTCATAACTTCAAACAGTCATAAATCAAGGACTACATGTACACGGTACTTCATCCTGTCGAGCATAAAGCAGAAGCCACATGGCTGACCCTATTACTGTACTAACTATCCAAGAAATTGTTGCAAAAGCAATCCTCTCGCTAGACATGAAACAACAGAACAATTGTTCCATACAGGATATTGAAAATGTCCAATTTCATTGCAAACTTAAATACTTCCTTCCCAGAGTTGTGGGTGTTTGATCACTGGAGGCTTTCAAGAAAAGATTAGACAACCATTTGTCCAGGATGGTATAAGGACTCCTGACTTGGGCAGGAGGTTCGACTAGAAGGCTTCCAAAGTCCCTTCCAGCCCTATCATTGTATGATTCTAGACTCAAAAGGGCTCTTCCAAAGTTGGAATACTTTGCACATAGTCATATTATTTCATTAGTACCATCCATGCTTACAACGTCTGGGGCAGAAATCACTTGACGTTTTGGGTGTGTCCTTGGAGATCCTACAAAAGCCCAAGGATGGGTCTTGGCCCAACATAAGTTTACCATATCTGCTTATGGGATAATATAACTGAAGATATTTTACTCTCTTCTGAAGAGATGATCTTCTATGCTAATTTCTCTTTCCTTCCTCCCTTAAGTGTGCTAACCTAAAGGCAAAGATTGCTGAAGCAGAAGACCGAGGTGAACTGGCACTCAAAGACGCAAGGCAGAAACTGGCTGACCTTGAGGATGCCGCTCAGAAAGCCAAGCAAGAGATGGCCAGGCAACTCAAGAAATACCAAGAGCTACTGAATGTGAAGCTCGCCCTGGATATTGAGATTGCTACCTACAGAAAACTTCTGGAAGGAGAAGAATATCGGTCAGTGATAGTCCATCTAAGTAGAATCTTTACAGGTCTTGCTGTTTTTTTGGTGGAAATCCTCAACCTCCATCAAAACAAAAAATTTCATCCCCATCAGCATCTAGTTCTGTGGGCACAATGAGTCTTTTTCCCTTGAAGTTCATCCTTCAGTGTCTCTAAGGATTTGATGACTTTGCAACAATAGTCATACAAGATTGGTTTTCTTTCAGTCAGCTGTATATGCTCAGAATACATTTGAATTCCTACCCATGCTTGACTTCTGCTTTGTTTCCTGACAGATTGGCAAGTGATGCAGCAGGTGCAGTGAACATCTGTAAGTATAGTGAAGAATATATACACAGTATACCCATATAACAAAATTCACATGACACCCAGAGACCAAGCCCAACACACATGACAATCCCCAGCTATTAGATGGAGGGAGCTGCATTTTGTGCTGTCCTTCCACCTTCCTGCCCTGTCTCTTCCCCTACAATTGTAGATTTTGCAACTGCAACTGCGGCAAATTAGACTAGTAGAAGCACAGCAATTCTTGGTGTGTTATGTCAACATAGTACCACACGTATGGGATGAAAATCTGCATCTGCTTCTATCTACTTTTTTAAACATCTATAGAATGCCATAGGACAGAATTCAACCAATTTTTCAGGCCTTAGACAGCAACACACAAATCTATAGGAACTCTGATCCATCACCAAATCTTGCAACGTTAGTAATTTCATCCTAAAATCTCATATGACCTTGGAATTCTTGCATTTGATCTCAAGCAAAATCATCATACTCTTTCCCCATTCGTTTCATTTTGAGAGAATATTTGAAGATCCTTTAGAAAGGATGGACTTGACAGAGTCCGTAGTAATTACCCTTCCTATAATTTCTACCAGGTAGCTGCCTTTCCTAGAACAGAAAATGCTCAGTCTTCTCTGTCTCTTCTTTTCACAGCTGTTATCTCTTCACATGTTTCACGAGGTTCAGCTGCTTGTAGTGGTCTTGGCTACAGAACTGGCCTTAACCTGGGTGGAGGTAGTTGCTTTGTAGTAGGAGGCGGCGGTAGCAGCAACATCAAAAGTGCGAGCCAAGGAGATGGTAGCAGCAACATCAAAAGTGCGAGCCAAGGAGATGGTAGCAGCAACATCGAAAGTGCGAGCCAGGGAGATGGTAGCAGCAACATCGAAAGTGCGAGCCAGGGAGATGGTAGCAGCAATGTCGAAAGTGTGGACCATGGAGATGGCAGCTCCTCTAGTGTGAATTAGGCCTCTTCTCCTCCAACAGATCACATAAGCTAAACTTCCAATCCCTTGCCCTTTTGAAAATGAAACATGTGAACAATGTCTTCTCTGGCCCTATCTCTGTGCAGTATAAGTAGTCCTCGCCTTACTACCAGAATTGAGCCTGGATTTATGGTTGTAACTGAGTCCACGTGATTGCCTCAATGACCACCATGCAATCTCTCCATTGTGGTTAAGTGGAGTGATGGGTCCCTTAGAGACTGCTAAAGCTCCTGGGAGGCCAGACACAGGCCCACATTAGAGTATCTCCCCATAACACACTTGTCCTGCATTGGGCCAGGGCCTCCCTCCTCTGAAAGGTCCCCCTTGAACAGCTTCCCACCACTCTTGGTTCCATACACTTGGAAGTCTCCTCCTCCACTCTACTTACTTTTTCTCAAAGCCACCTTTCCCAAGGAGTTTCATTGTGCAGTCATCCTACACAGAAGCCACGGGATGCCATCCTGAAAATGGGTGCCACTTTGGAGAAAAGAAGAATGTGAGAACTGAAGCAGTTTCCAATATGGCACCTGCTTCCAGGATGGCATTACGTGGCTTCTATGTAGGAAAGACCACATGGCACATCGGCTGCTTCTCCTTGGGAAAAGGGATCATTGGAACAAGTCATGACTGTGGGGAAGGATGTGGGACCCAGCAGAGCAGGAAGCAGGCCCAAGGGATCCAACAGGGCGGGATGAGAGGGAAGATAGGCAGGTAGGGGGAACTGCAGTGTTCCTGTGGTTAGTCTTTAAGGGCGGCAGATTACAAAGTACCCAAGTATTATTCATGTGCCTACCAGGCATACAGCAGCCATAACTTCGGGCATAGGTTGTAAGCCCCTTTGTCCATTGCCATTGTAATTTCAAACTTGAATAAATGGATGTATATCAAGTACTATCTGTATTCATACATGTGTTTTTTCCTTTGTATTCAGCTTTTGAATAAGACAGGTCCTTTCTTTGATTGTATGTCAACAGCACTCTGCTTTTCAAATGAGTCAAACTGTATAGAGGATAGGCTTCTGTTCTCTGATTTTTCCTTCTTTCATCCAACTCAAATTTCAAAGTTTGTATAAACTACATGATCTTCTGCGGGGTTTTTTGTGCTTGAAATACGTACTTTGAAACATGGCTTTACTTTTTTGCATGTATCCAATAAAGTACACATTGTGATTTATAAAAAATATCTAGCTATTTTAAATACCTAATATAAACATGATTATGAGGGAGGTCATTAAAATAATCTTAACATTACTGCAATAGTTAGAAAGCAGGCCAGAATTATGATACAATTATGATCAGAGCTGCGGTGGCGCAGTGGTTAGAGTGCAGTACTGCAGGTTACTTCTGCTGATCACTGGCTGTCAGCAGTTTGGCAGATCGAATCTCACCAGGCTCAAGGTTGACAATCTGAACAAGGGTCTTCCCAGACAACCCAATTCTTGGCCATTAAGAGGACTTTTTGGAGGGGGAATGACCTAACGACTGCCTGGAGAAGTTCCTGTATTTTTCTTAGTAATATTTCAATAATAGTTTGCTCTTGCCTGCTACCTAGGTCAGATAGAATGACTGTCACTAAACTAGGTTTGTGCCTAAAGCAGGACTACAACACATAGATACCTGTCTTTTAGCCTGGTGCCTTAACCACTACACCAGATTGGCTCTTAGAAGACTATAATTGCTGTTTTTTCACTTGAAACATTTCATCCAATTATTTACCTAGAATTGCCTGGGACAACATAGGTTGCACTATGTTAGATATATGACTTACTATAACTACATAAAAATCTGGAGAAAGCAACATTTCTTGTAACACCTCCCCATAATAAATATCTTACAATGTGAGAAGTTTCTGCTACTTCTTGCAAATCTACCAGAAAACATATATCATTGTAGAGCATGAAAACTTCAGATAAGTGGAAATGATCTGCTCTCTGATCGAAGAATGCATCAGTGATGTCCTAAGTTGTTTCTGTATACTGGGTGATCTTTTTAGGCAAACTCTTCCAGATTCTCCATTATAAAAGATTAAATAATAATGATGATGATGATGATGATGATGATGATGATGATGAAGAAGAAGAAGAAGAAGAAGAAGAAGAAGAAGAAGAAGAAGAAGAAGAAGAAGAAGAAGAAAAGCAAAGTTTGATTATGTGAATCAAAGTACAGAAAAATTGCTGCAGGCTGTGAAAAAGGAGAACATTACAAAAACAACAGAAACAAAGGCATAATATAAGGAAAAACAGCTGGATGACAGATTAAATAGATGGAAAACCAAAGCTTTCAATGGACAGCACTTGAAAAACATTGAAGGAAAATGTGATGACAACTTTACATGGGCATGGCTTAAGATGGGAACCATCAAGAAAGAAACTGAAGGTTTAATACTCGCTGCTCAAGAACAAGCACTACAAACTAATGCCATGAAAGCAAAGATACAAAAATCCACCAACAATCCAAACTGCCGACTTTGCAACAACAAAGTCGAAGCTATTTCACATTTAATATGTGAATGCAGCAAAATCGCACAAACTGATTACAAAGCTAGACACGACCAAGTTGCTAAATTAATCCACTGGTCATTATGTAAAACATACGACTTACCTGTATCCAAAAAGTCATGGGAACATAAAGTGGAAAAAGTTATAGAAAATGAGAAGGTGAAGATCTTGTGGGACTTTCAAATACAGATGGATCGTCACTTGGAACATAACACACCAGATATCAGTTGTCAAAAACTGAAACAATATATTGACATTGCAGTACCAGGAGATGCCAGTCGAAGAAAAAGAACTGAGAAAAATCATGAAATATTGCAACCTGGCCATTGAAACTACATGGCTATGGATGAAACACGTAACAGTGATACCCATTGTCATTGGGGCACTTGGTACCATGTCCAAGAATTTTATAAGATACATCAACGAATTGCAGCTTCCTGCAATAACACCAGTGAAACTGCAAAAAACTGTGCTACTTGGAACACCGTACATCTAAAGAAGGTACTTGGTTGATACCTAGGATGCTGGCAGCAATCTGTATCAACCATTAGCACCAGTCAATGGGTATTTGTGATGCATTTTTGAATGTTCAGTTGACTGAGATTCATGTTTAATGAACAAATTAATAATATTTTAATAATAATAATAATAATATTAATAATGATGATGATGATGATGATAATGATGATGTTTCAAACCGTGTAGTGTCGACATTGGTTATAACACACACAAGATGCTATATGGTTTCAACGTTCTTTTCTCACAGCATCTGACCAACTTCCTCTGGGATGTTGGCAGAGCAGAAATATTTCCTAGCAAAAATGTGGTGCCTCTGATTTTGGAGCTAATTTACAGCTACCAATAACCATTGATACCTTTGTAGTCTAATCCTCTTTTAAAGGTCCATTAGATAATGAATTCTCTAACACAACTTTGTTCTGTTTGAAGAATTCAAAAAGAAAGAAATCTTCAAGGCAATCACATTTGGAAAGATCTGAATGAAGATCTTAGATTAGGCCAACTCTTGCTCATTAGAAGACTAGCAAATTTTTAATTCAAAATATTTCATCGAATTGTTTACCTAGAATCCTATGGAAAATATGGGGCATTGCATGAACACGTCCTCTCGTGATAAAGCAGGTGATGGAAGTGGCTATTTTTGGCCATGAAATCCAACAACTCAAATTTTGCTCTAGAATAGGCCCTTCTTGTGACAAACTCAATGACAGACATTTTTCAAATTGGAAAATAGTTTTATTCTCAGACAATCAATTTAGAAATTTATTTTTTGCCAATAATTCCATGTCAGTTTGGGCACTGAAATCTATGACTTTCTATTTAAAAAATTGGCTGGGAGACAGTTTAAAATAAACATTAGGTAGAAAATTCAAGCTATGAAATAACTTTGATAAGTATGGTAGGATTACCAAGGAATAAATCTGAGCCATATTTATCGGTTCTGTTAAGCATATTTTGGGTAGCCCATCAGGCTCTATTGAATGGATCCTTTGCCAATAACAAAAAAAATAATTATTGGCCGGCCATTGTGGAATGGATTATCTGTGTCTGCTCTGACTGCAGAGGCTCACGCTTTATTATTTCCCAGTATGCATCTTAAAAAATGGGTCTGAACTGTTTTAAATGAATTAGCATTGGGGCTATTTTTGCCCTGAATGCCTAAACTATAATTAGTTTATATAATCCTTTAGTACTTGTCTCAGCTCTTACAGAACTTCTTTTAAAATCATTTATCCATGAGCCTATGTTGGTAAAAAAACATTCTTAAAGTAAAGAAATGAATTTATACAATAGGTTCCCCAATTATTTGCCAGTTATATTTCATGCTTTTGGAAATGTCATCACTTTCAATTTAGTTTTACTGATGTTTAAAAAATTAAGAACACAGTAGGTATTTATTTTTCACAACAGACTTCTCGGGCTTATTTGAGTGTGCCAATATTTATTTATTTATTTATTTATTTATTTATTTATTTATTTATTTATTTATTTATTTATTTATTATTTATTTATTATTTATTTATTGGTTCGATTTATATGCCACCCTTCTCCGGAGACTCAGGGCGGCTTACAATGCGTTAAGCAATAGCCTTCATACTTTTGTATATACCTGCTTAGTAGGGCTTTCGGGCCCCCCCTAAGTGGTGTTCCTTTTTATACAAAGTCAGCTTATTGCCCCCACAAACCGGGTCCTCATTTTACCTACCTCGAAAGGATGGATGGCTGAGTCAACCTTGAGCCTGGTGAGATTTGAACTTGCAGTAATTGCAGGCAGCTGGTGTTACTTAACAGTGCTTTAGTCTGCTGCGCCACCAAGGCTCTTAATAGAACCATCTCATCAGCATATAAAAGGATATTATTGAATTTATTATGGTTCTTTGGCATATGAATGTCTGAAGCTTATCGGAATCCTGGAATATCATAGACATTTGGGATAAAAAGCATTGGGGCTAGAATACAATCTTAACATTATAGGTAGATATACTTTTAGTTACAAAACCATTTACACCAGTATGGAATTTCAAATGGATGTTTGAGTACAGGGCCTAACCAAAATTAAGTGTCTGGTTTCCATATTTGAGTTAGCCAATTTCTTCCACAAAATATTTGTTTATAGGATCAAAAGCTGCACTGAGATCTATACTTTCATCTAAATTCAGCTTATACTTCCACTAAGAAATCTCTTTCAGTCTTTTATTTTGCTCAAAAGATGTTTTGCATATATTTTAGCCACAATTCCAATAAGGTTTATCAGTCTATATTTTTTGGGGTCACCCACATCTCTCTTTTTATATATAGGGATTATTATGGCAATGTCCAACTGGGATGAAATCTTTATTTCTTATATATGGGAGAACAGCCCTGCTAACAATGGGGCTCACCAATCAATATATGTCTTGAAAAGTTCTGGAAGTAGAAAATCTTTTCCAGATGCCTTATTAGATTTCAGATAATGAATTTTATTTCTGACACTAACATTGGAGGACAGAGAATATCAGTAATTTACTTACATGGGTGGCTCTGGTTCGGTTTAATAAATAGAATTGCATAAAAATTCTCCCAAACTGAAGCTGGAATCCGAGTATTGAATTGGAATACACCTGATACAATATTCCAGAAGAAAATTAAAATTTGTCCCTTTTACTGAAAATTCCAGATCTGACCGTATTTTTTAGCCGTGTCTGAAGCTTTTTTAGAGGCATATTTTTATGGTAGGATGTCCCTGGGGCTGGTATTATGTACAAGATGCATTACTTGCTGTAATCACATAAGAATCTAGAAGAATTAGTTTCCTTGTAACATCGCCTCACAGTAAACATCCTAAAGTGTGAGAAACTAGAGCTACTTTTGTAAATAAGAAGACGTGCACTGCTTC